TATCCGGGGTGCGCGGGCGGATGTGCAAATTGAATACGCACGTGTTGGCGCCGAGGTGCGCGGGCGGATGTACAAACTGGATGCGCACGTGTTGGCGCCGATCTTCTGCGAAGACTCAAAGACTTCTCCGATTCAACTGAAGATGCCGTGGCTGCGACGAGGCATTCGACGGAGTTACGGTGGCTCGCAATACCGAAGCACCCTGGTGCCGACACGGCGCACCAGATGCGTGGCCTGGAACTGCCCAATCAAGATGCGAAGATGCTCGGACGCATGATTGTGGCCTTTCTGGATGAGGCTGCCTCGCATCAGTCCGAACGCAGAGATCGAGCTTCGCCAGGCATTCTGAATTGCATCATGTGCTTCTATCGACTGTTCAAGGCATCAATGGTATGTCGTGGAGCTGGGTCAGAGCCGTCTGTGTGCGCACACGCCTTCCTGCAAACCTCCTCTGCGGCATGGAACCGCTCATGCACGAACGCGTTGCCTTCCTTAGCTTTACCGCGGCCGGCTTCGAATACACATCATGTTTATTCTCCTTTCTAAAAAGAGAATAGACTCTAGCCCCCCCCCGGACTTATCAGCTCCCCCTGGGAAAATCTGATTTCATACAAATTCTGCACACTCGTGCATCCTAAATATGCAATCGCATCATCCCAGCCAAACCGGGTTCCCCCCCTGAGGTTCCCTTGTAAAAAACACTATGCGGTGACACCTTTTGTTCGAACATAACACTGTTTCGCGAGTCCCTTGCAAAAAAAGACACGAAATGCACACGCGCGCGTCGTCGCGCGCGCATGCCGAAATCCTTCAAAAACTTTCGGTGCGGGAAGGATTTCGCAATCGAGTTTCTAAAAAAATACAAAAACACAGGGTTTCGCAACACAGAGTTGCTAAAAAAGCTTCCGCGAAAGCTCTTGCGAAATCTGAAGAAAACCATGGGTTTTTCAAGATTTTCACAAAATGCTACCAAACGGGCTTCGCGCGCGCTCCTGTCGAAATCTGTCGAACGCCCTTGCGCGTGTGCCGTCGCGGGAATCCCATGCAAAAAACGGGACGAAGTGCAGACGCGCGCGTCGTCGCGCGCGTATGCCGAAAACCTTCAAAACCCATCGGTTTCGGAAGGATTTCAAAATCGTGTGCCCAAAAAACCTACACAAACATAAGGTTTCGCAACACGGATTTTCAACAAAAGCGTGCGCGCGCGCTCTTGTCGTCGTCGTCGTCGTCGTCGTCGCCGTCCTCCCTCCTCCCGCGTCGTTGTCGTCGTCGTCGCCTACGTCGTCCTCTGTCTTTCCTCGTGTTCGTCGTCGTCGTCCTCTTTGGCGTCGTGGTCGTTTCCGTCGTCGTTGTCGCCGTGGTCGTCCTTCCTCCTCCTCCCTCGTCGTCGTCGTCGTCCGTCGTCGGCGTCTCGTCGTCGTCCCTCCTATTTCGTCGCCGTCGTCGTCGTCGTCGTCGTCGTCGTCGTCGTCTTCCCTCCTCCCTCGTCGTTGTCGTCGTCGGCGTCGCCGTCCTTCCTCCTTCTTCGTCGTTCGCGTCGTCGCCGTCCTCCCTCCTCCCTCGTCGTTGTCGTCGTTGTCGCCGTCGTCGTCCTCCCTCCTTCCTCGTTGTCTTCGTTGGCGACGTCGTCGTCGTCGTCGGCGTCGGCGTCGTTGTCGTCTTCGTCGTCGTCGACGTCGGCGTCGTCGTCGTCGCCGCCGTCGTCGTCGTCGTCGTCGTCGTCGTCGGCGTCGTTGACGTCGTCGTCGTCGTCGGTGTCGTCGTTATCGTCGTCGTCGTCGGCGTCGTCATCGTCGTCGTCGTTGTCATCGTCGTCGTCGTCGGCGTCGTCGTCGTCGTCGTCGTCGGTGTCGTCGTCGTCGTCGTTGTCGGCGTCGTCGAAGTCGTTGGAGACGTCGTCGGTGTCGTCGTAGTCGTTGTCGGCGGCGTCGTCATCGTCGTTGTCGCTGTCGTCGTCGGCGTCGCTGTTGTTGCCAAGTGCCATGTGGTACCCACCGTCACGGTCTTAAGAGATTTTGCAAACCAAGTTGCGGGTGGATGGGTGGGATGTTTGCGCGAGCAGTGGAGTGGACAACTCACTGCGAACAGAAATTAATAGTGTAACATAGTTTTCCGCAGGCTGATTGACGGATTGCGACCCAACAATACGGGGAAAACATGTTTCCCCCCTGACGGCCACTGCTGAGGCCTCCGCCGTCTTCATCGTCGACGCTGTTGCTCCTCCTCCTCCTCCTTCTCCTCGTCCTTCTCTTCGTCCTATCTAGCTCTAGGGCTGCACGGGTGCTACCCCATCACATGCAGGAAAAGTTCGGAAAACCCAAACACGAGGGAGGCGTCGGGCAGCCACCACAAAGGGCAGCGCGGGCCCATCAGGGCCCGTCTGGGACCAGCTCCTCGAGAGCCACTCCCCTGGTCCTGGCCTGCTCGCGGGCCTGGGTAACGAAGGCCCGAGCGTCGGCTTCCGTGAGCCCGAAAAGCGCCAGTCCCCTGGACAAGTCGACGCCTGGAGCGACCTTCCTGCCATAAAACTTTGCATTCGAGTGAAACGCACGCGCATCCAAGCCCTCACTCCTACCAGCGTCCTCTGAGGCCTCGAAGAAGGGCAACCAATGGTCCGCCGCCAAGGCGCCCGAGCCGCCCCCGTCAAAGACAACCGATTTGGCACTCGGGAGAGCATGGAGGCCCTTGGAGAATCCTGGTGATGTTTTGGGCACTACTGACAGTCTTAGCCTCTCCTCCTCCTCCTCATCCTCCTCCTCCTCCGCCTCCTCCTTTTTCTCCGTGTGCGCACAGGCCGAGCAGGAGACGCCCACTGCGCGTGAGGAGGGGGAGGGCGAGAAGTGGAAGGACGAGGAAGGGGAGGGCGAGTTGCTTTCCCGGCCGAGAGCTGAAGGGGGGGCTGAACATTAAAGATTTCCCTCGGTTATACGGGCATGCTCGCAGCTTGTGTGATGCTGGGAACATATCCATGTTTGGGCGCGCGACCGTGGAAACAGTCATGACATTGATCGCCGATGTCGGGGAAGCATCGGGTCAAAACCTGCAAAACACTGCGTGGTTTCCGAACCAGCCGTTGGCATTTCCTGAGATGTATAAGCCGAAACGCAAGTTGTCACTAAGCACAAGTCTTGTGTTTGTGCAACCCATCCTGTCGTATGTCTCAAGTGTTGTCCTGATGGATGCGTCCGTTCCCTCTGCAGTTCGGGAAGTGGGCGCGACATTCTTGGAGCGGGTATAATGGTACCCCTTGCAGGTCTTTTGCCATGCCAATTTTCTATTCCACACCCTTGTGGAAGCGTGTCATCCAGTCATGGCCAATATCGTTGAATTGCTGGTGGCAACGACGCAGCTTGAGAGGTCAGGGTATGTCGATGCTCAAGAGCTTCCTCTTGAGAAACCCACCGCAGTAGTTTTTCGCTCGAAGTTATCATGCCTGGCGCCGCTCTGGTAAGATAGTGGCTTGCCGTATGCTTTAACAACGGGATTGTGCTGCTGACCTCCCGATGGCGCGGGCACTCGTCGTTGCCCAACTTCGTGTGCGTGGCCTTCAGTGGGGTCCCTTGGAACCGAACCTACGAGCGATGCCGTCGACTGTCTCTGGCGAGCACAGGCTTGTGATAATGATGCGTCTGTTGAACGGGAGCTGACAAGCAAACGTCTCACACGCTGTCCAGAGAAGCCTTTTCGCCCGATCTCGCAACGCTGATATCTGCGCAACTCTGGCTCCAAAAATTGACGATCCGTTGGTGCAGTTCCAGTCATTGTTGTCGTTCTGTAGTCTTCGTGTGCGCTTGCACCGCTTATGGCAAACAAGACTACGGGGTTTCTCGCCGCAAGATTTGATCACGCATGCCATGCGGCTGTGCGAGGACCCTTGGATCACGGTCAGCCCTGCTAACACCACCAGTCAGGAGCGGCGCTCCATTGGGCTCGCCAGGCCCCGTCGTTTCGAGCAGCTGTCACAATATACGCATCTGGCAGCGGAGCACGCAGTCAAGGTGCACGCGGCTCACGGCAGTCGTCATGCGGTTGCGTCAAGTATCGCGAAGGCGCAGGGGAGGTACGCGCTACCTGTGGGAAATTCCTGGGCGGCGCCATCAGCAACGATTCACAATATGATGGGATTATTTTGGCGTTCAGGCACGCCTTGAACAACTCGACCTCCTCTTTACGATTCCTCGTTGGCTCCCTGATGGTTGCTTCAGCTGGCATTGAGATGCTTGTCCCCTGATCAGCGGCCACTGTTTATGCGAGCGCTTGGACTTCTGAGGCGTCTGCGATCCACGCCCGCCACTGTCGAGATCCAGCGTCTTTACAGAGAGTTCAATACCGACGCCGATGGCATTTGCAACTCCGTGCTTGACATCGCTGCGGCAGGCTGCACCCCACGAGAGCACGAGACAATCGTCGTTCTGAACTCGGAGCCCGTTGTTGCTCCTGGGCCGAGGTGACGCCGCTCTGCCCCCCTCCAATGGCCCCCCCCCTCGTGTGGTCGTGCTCTCCTTCCGCCGCTCGGCTGGTTCGTCCACCGGTCTCCGCTGCTTTCTCTCTGTAACCCCTTCCCCTACTGGCGCTAGCCTGCACCTTTGTTCCCGCGCCTGTCGGCGCCGCTCGCTGTCTTCAATTTCACGACTGTGACATCAGACTAGAGTCAGCAAGCTTCACCAGCCGCCTGGCTAGTTCATCGCACAAGTCTCGTCTAAGCTCCGACTCATAGCTTGCCAGGAGGACTGGCTGCAGGACATTTCGTGTATGTGTAGAAGTTTACACAAGATGGAGGATCTGGATGGGGCTAGGTCTCTTACACCTCAGGCCTGGGCGAACTCCTTGATACAGAAAGGCTATGAATACGCACGTGCACGCATGCAATGTTCACTACATCTCGCTCGGGACCCCTCGAAACTCTGCACGCCCCCTGAGGGCGATGTCGGAGGCTCCACGAGGCGGCTGATCAGACCGCGCAACGAGAAACATTCTCTCAACCTCACACCGCTGGAAAACTAGCGGGCTCTGGCGATGTCGCTCAAGCCCTTCTGCTGGCGGTCCTCTTGACCCTCCAGCAGGATATCGCTCTCAGCCCTGACTCACTCTGCCCAGGCACCCTGGGACCACTCTCCAAGAGGAACAAACCGCGGTGTGGCCTTGTGCCAGGAATAGGTCACCTGGCTCTGCGTCGAGATCGTCCTCCTCTCGACCTTCTCCTTCTTGGCCTTGGCGCCTCTCTTTGGAGCCACGTCCAGGACCATCTTCATCTCGCACTCCTTCGCGTTGTTGGGCCTCATGAAGTAGCCCACACACCAGCCCGCGCAGCAACCCGCTGCGCAGAACAGGATTGCCATGAGGATCACCACCCCGATGAGCAACACGCCCTCGAGGTGCACGCCCGTGCCCAGGCGCGTGTCCTTCAGGATGATCTCCTTCTTGTCCGTCTCGTAGCCGTAGACGTCGCACTCACCGTCTGCCTTCACCGAGCCCAGGCTGTCCATGAGGGCTATCAAGGCCGCTCCGACCTTCGCCATCTTGGACGTCGTGTCGCTCACGAAATTGACTCGGGCCGCGGTGCTCTCCTCGATCTCGTCTGCGCCCTCCAGCGGGCGCCGCCCTAGCTGCCTCCGCAGCCAGTGAAACCTCTGGCTCGCCAGCGCCTTGGTCCCGATGTCGGCCAGGTTGGTCTCCCCGGCCTGCTTGACCACCGCCAGCTTCTTGTCCCGCACCTTCGCCTGAAGCCACAAGGTGCGGACCTCCAGGTGGCGAATCTTGCCGACCCCGATGCGGTGGCAGATCGCCTTTCCTGCACTCGAGTCCATCCTGACCCTGATCTTCACGTCCATGTCAAGGAACTTCATCACGCTCTGGATGTGAATCGCCTCGGCTGCCACCGTCACCGCCGCGTAGTACTCCGCCTCGGCTGAGCTCAGCGCCTGCGTGCACTGGCCGCGCGAGTACTCTAGGAGCGTGCAGCCACCACAGCTCAACACTCCACACGATACGCTCTTCCTGTCGATGGTGTCCCCAGCCCAGTCCGAGTCGGTGTAGCACTCCAGGATATCCACCTCACCCTCTTTGGGGAAGAACAGCCCGTAGTCACGAACTCCACGTAGATACCTGCCCAGGTGCTTGAGCCTCTTCATGTCATTGACGGTGGGCTTCGACATCCTCTTACTCAACACGTGCACTGCGAACGTGGCCTCCGTGATGTAGTTGATCATGTACCTCGCAATGCCCACGCACTGCCTGTAGAGCGTGGTGTCATCTGCGTCCAACGGGTCCTTGAGATCGTCCTCCAGCAGCCTCGTCACGATGGGAGTAGGCGAGCTCTTGGCCTTGCCCAAGTTCAACAGCTCGACGATCTTGTCGGCGTACTTCCTGTTGCCAGTCAAAAACATGCCATCATGTACTCTCACTCTCCCTCCTTTCAAGTGCTTGTACTTGTCTCCAGCCTTGAGCAGCTTGCTCACCTTAATCTTGACCTTGCTGGCCAACTCCGTCGTGAACGACTGAAGCTCAACATCACCCGCAGTGGCGTAGATGTCGTCCTGGTGGAGCTCCAGGTCCACGGAGTCCCGCTCTCGGCGATAGAAGCACGGCTGATCGGGGCACTGGATGAACCCCATCTCCGACACGAGGGTACCAGTCATGAAGTCGCTGAACCCCCTGCTCGCATCCCGTTCGCCGTAGAGCTTCTTCTTCATTCTCCACATCGTCCGTGTCGTGTTGCCCTTGAGAGCCTCTGCCTCCATCCACTCCTTAGGCGGCACAACCGCCACCAGCCTGTCCTGCATCGCGTGGAAGTAGGCGTTGACAGCATCAATGATGACCGTGGGTTGGTTCATCTTCACCGCCTTGAAGTCTATGAGCCTCCCTGTTGTGGGCTCACTTGCCGGTGTGAACAACCCTTCTCGCTCTGGGTCCATGCTCTTGAACTCCCTGGCAACGAATCGGCATCGGATCTCATCACCCCTCTCCTGGTAAACCCACTTGGTGGACAGCCACGTCCACGTAGAATCTATCTCGTCAGGCGACACTGCCTCGAACACGTCGAACTCATGCATTGTGTTAATCTCCTTGCACTTGCCAGCCTTGATGAGGTCGATGTCGTACTCGCCCTCGTGCCAGTCAATGTCCATCTCGGGGTCCATGGCGGGCACCGTGTCAGCCTCGTCCATCACGAAACCTTCGACGCCGCCAACCGTGCCCATCTCGACTTCAGGGGACTCGGCTTCGGAAGCACTCCGTTTTCTGGCTCTCGGAGTGGCGGCTGAAGCCGCGGGCTGAGCCTGCTGAGACGAGGAGCTGGCACCTCCTTCTTGCCTCGGCGTGGAGATCTCTATGTCTTCCATGCAGCCACTCTTGGCACTCTTGTAGCTCTGCCCGTCGTCTGCAATCCCCCCTTCGATCGTGGCGTCTGGAACTCTCTTCTCCTGCCTGGTGCCCTCGACCTCTGGCTCGTCTTGCTTCTCCTCAGGCGGGACCGCTGGGACGACAACAATCTTCTTGCCCTTCGGCCTCCCGATCTGGCCGATGCCTCGATCCCAGGGAACTCCCACCATCTTGGCCACGAGCTCCAGGTCGCTCTGGTTCTCCTCGGGGAGCCCGCGGACCGTCCTGACCAGGTGCACCCCGCTGCTCGTGCCCATGAGGAACTCGTCGCTCTCGTAGGTCTTGCCCAGGAAGATACCCTTCTCCCACATCGACTTCGACTTGCGGCTGCGTCTACCTCCAGTCATGTGGCCACTCGTCGACATAGGGTGTCTGAACATCGCAGCTTCTGCAAACCTCAGAATAACTCCATGATATTTGGTGCCTGTGGCATCTTGATGAGGTGTCCTTCCACTTGACTTGACATGGAACATCTCCGTGATGAAACCAACATGCCTGACCAGCCACGGCCACAACACGTGACTCGGACCGATCTTGATACCCAGCATCTTCTCGGTGGCGGCCCTGATCGTCCTGGTCTGGCCCTGTAGGATCTTCTGCTGCGCCCCCACTGCCCCAAGCGACTGGGACGAGTACCTGGGGGTCTGCTCCACCGTGACATTGTACTTGTCTATCTTGAGCCTCTTGGCCGCCACTGCGTTCGCAATGCTGACGATGCTCGGCTCGCCGTCGGTTCTAAGTCTGAGCTTCGTGGCCCCGAGTCTGCGGAGAAAGCTCGCGATCGCAGTCACTGTGTAGTCCTGATTGCCTCCTTTCTCAGGGAGGCTGAGCTGCAGAGGGACGCCCGTGTCGCAGTCAATGACGGCCAACGTGGTGGAGAATCTATTGGCCGCATCCTCCGTCTCCTCGCCATCGTCCTTCAGGAAATGGTAGTCTATCTGCACGACGGGTACCTCTGGCTCCTTGTCCGTGAGAAACTAGACTCCACGATGAGGTGCAGCATCTCCCTTTCCAAACACACACTCCAAACACCATGGCTCGAACTTCGCGTGGGTGAGCTCGTGTTGCCTCACTGTCTCCTCATCTGGCCTCTCAGGGATCTTCAGCGTCCTCGGCACCTCAGGGTCCACGCCTTCTCGAAGTCGTCGTTGACGTTCTTCCAGAGCTTCCTTGACCTTCATCCTTTCGTCCAACTGGTGTTCGCACTTGACGAGTCTCTCCCACAGCTGCCTCTTGGTGCCATAGATGGCCGCGTCCACGACCCCTAACTTCCTCAACTCCTTCAGGCGCGTCCTCAATGCTTCGACCGATGATTGGGGACCTAGGATCTCCCGTGGAGGTCCAGCCTGTGGTGGTACAGGTGCTTCTTGATGATCCTGTGGCGGCACCGTGGGCAGCAGAGCGTGCGCAGCCTGCAGTTCAGGTTGCACTGGCGGTACAGCTTGCTCCTGTGCCATCTGATCGACGACTGGTGCCACTCGATGTCGTCGAGCACCCGGCTCCAACACGCGACACTTCGCGTAGAAGCTCTTCCCGATCATCGTCAGAGGGATCTTCTTCTGGGTGCCGTTCAAGCTCGGAGGGGCCATGTAGCTGTTCCCCTGCTCCAGATGAATGACAGCACCTCTCATGACCCTGATCCCGCAGCTCAGTACGGGTTTGCTGAAGTCGCCAATGCGGAACCGATTCGTGGCCATCACCTCATTGCCCGTCTCGTCCAGGAAGGCAATGCCAACATTCCGCTCGCCATAGTCCTTGATCTCCTCGTTCGTGGCCGTCCTCAGCTCCACGCTGGTGGGGTCCTCGACGTCGTCGCTCGAGTGACCGAAGCTGAGGGGACATCCGTCTGCATCCGACCCGCTGTCGATGGAGACCCACACGTACCTGCTGTTGTCGTTGACGGTGTTCACGCTCTCGGTGACGCCCATGACCCACAGCTCGTCCTCATTGTTAACGATCCTCTTGACCTCGGCGTTCTCTGGCTTCGACCTGCACTCTGAAGCCTTGTGACCCGTCTTGCCGCACTTGTCGCACTTGATGTGTGACCTGCAATCCTTGGCCTCGTGGCCTATCTTCCCGCACTTGTCGCATCTTTTCCTGTCCTTGCCCTTGCCTTTCGGGTCCTTATCCTTTCCCTTGCCTTTCGAGTTCTTGGCCGCTCCACCGCCTGGGGCCCAGCAGTCTCTTGCCCAGTGGCCCTTCTTGCCGCAGTTCGCGCAAGAGTCGCGATCTCCACGGCCTTTTCCTGCGTCGATCCTCGCTTGCTTGCCGTACCCCTTCGGCGGCTTGGAGATGCCACAGACGTCGCCGTTGTCCTTCACCAGTCCGACGTCCATGGGCATGGGGCCATCATTCGTGTACTGGATGCCGTGGGGAGCTCCTGTGGTCTCGTAGACCTTCCCACTCGCAATATAGTCGGTCACCACTCTGGCCAGCTTGTTGTAGTCCTGGCCAATCGCCCCCAGGGACTGGCGAATCACAGCCTTCACGTCCTCTGGAGCCCACCTGACCACAACAGCAATCCTCGTGCCCTCCGTGACCTTCTCCATGGATTGGGCCTCGTAGAGCGAGACACTCTTCTCCCACTCCTTCCAGGCCGCCTCCCAAGCACGGACACCGC